ACTTAAGTAAAGAGATTTATTTAGCCTTTTAGGCCATAGTAATATTATGTTTATAACCTTCAGTGAAAACAAGATCTATGTGAGGGGATAAATTCCATTTTACATTTATAACAGGCAGATTCTAGGAAAGTAGAATTCTCTTGCTCACCACTATATTCTTAGCACATAAATACAGTAGATGCTCAATAAATATCTATCCAACTTTAAATATTTATAGAAGAGCAAATTAGGTTGAGGGAAATAAAAAAATATATGAATCAAAATTAGGTTAAGGCTTTGAGCATGGGATATGCTTTGCAACTTGCTTTCAAAGAGTAGAGTATGGAAGGAAAGGGGGTGGAAACCTGGCAAACAAAGTCCTCAGAGTGATCAAGATTATCATCAATTTTATCATATTGTTATTATGTGCCCTTAGAGTAATGTGATGAGAATGGCACTTCACCTCTGTTGTCTTCCTCCCTAAAACCTATATGACTCCAGTCTAATCATTAAGAATCACTTATCCCCTCACATATTAGGCAAATCTCAACCGAGGGACATTCTCTAATATCTCTGACTAGTACTCCCGAAAACTGTCACAGTCATCAAAAACAAGAAAAGTTTGAGAATTTGCAATTCTGGAATAGAAAAAGAACACTAGGGAAAAACTAGTGAAATCTGAAGAAAGTGCATAGTTATTAGAAATGTAGCAATTTCGTTTCCTTAGTTATATAAGCAGTTCACAATAATGAAAACTGAGTGAGGTATACTCTGTGTACTACCTTGCAACTTTTCTGTAAATGTAAAACTATTCTAAAATAAAAAGGTTACTTAAATGAAAACAGAGTAAGGAAAATAAGGAATACAAGAATCAAAATCCCTTGGAAACAAATGATGATAAACCTTCTTTTCGTCCCTCTATGTTTGGTAGTAAGACAAAGATAGTATTCTCCTATAGTGGAAATAAAGTTATTAATAAACAATACTGTAGGCATTGTACAAGTCTATAGTATTAATTATGAAGTTACATATGATCAAAGCAAATCCCTTTGAATTTTAGTTTCCCAAAGTATCATTCTTCATCCTCAACATTTCATTAACTCTGTGACAAAAATTCATAACATTTGCTGTCACTTCTATATTGAAGTGATTATCCCACATCTTTAATCTTTAGTCACTAAAGGTCATATTCCCCTTGCTTTCTCCCACGCATCTTACACTCAACTAAACTCACCATTTTCTTGATGATGCTTCCCTTCCAAACTTCCCTCTCAAAGTTATTAATTTTTTTTCAGTAGATCTCTCGCCTTCCCATGCCTCCCATTCCCACAGTTAATAATTACTATTAACACTGCTGTCAAATGAACCTTCCTCAAATAAGGATTTTATTATATTCCTAGGTTCAAATGTCATCTCTTTTTTTTTTTGTACTAAACCATATTTAAATTCAGAAGTGATACCTTTAAGGCCATCCATAATTGGTTATGTTTTTGTACCCTTCACTTGTAAAGATCTTTCCGTCCATCTTTCTACCTCATTCCATAAGTCTTGCCTTTCCTTTATTCAGAAAATAATTCAATCCTCACAAAGCATATCACATATACACAGGAAAATAAGACTCTTCTGGGTGGTCAAAGACTTTATAATTTTCTTAGGGTGATAAAACCTAAAAAGATGAGGGGTGCCTGGGTGGCTCAGTCAGTTAAGTGACTGACTTCGGCTCTGGTCATGATCTCATGGTCTGTGAGTTCGAGCTCCGAGTCAGGCTATGCGCTGACAGCTCAGAGCCTGGAGCCTGCTTCAGATTTTGTGCCCCCCCCCTCTCTCTGCCCCTCTCCGGCTCATGCTCTGCCTCGTTCTGTCTCTCAAAAATAAATAACTGTGAAAAAAAATTTAAAAAAAGAAAAAACTAAAAAAATGACTAAAAAAGAACATTGGAGGGACACCTGGGTGGCTCAGCTCAGGATCTCACAATCTCACATTTTGTAAAATCAAGCCCTGCATCACACTCTGCGCACACAGTGGAGAGCCTACCTGGGATCTCTCTCTTTTCCTCTCTCTCTCTCTCAAAATAAATAAATAAACATTAAAAAAAAAAAAGAACATAGGAATCTTATTCAAAGCTGTATCCTTAGTTCCTATAACATGAAAAGGGCTCAAAAAGTGTTTTTTTAAATTTTTTCTTAATGTTTATTTATTTTTGAGACAGAGAGAGACAGAGCATGAATGGGGGAGGGTCAGAGAGAGAGGGAGACACAGAATCTGAAACAGGACCAGGCTCTGAGCTGTCAGCACAGTGCCCGACACAGGGCTTGAACTCAGGGACTGCGAGATCATGACCTGAGTCGAAGTCAGACGCTTAACTGACTGAGCCACCCAGGCGCCCCCCAAAAAGTATTTATTAAGTGAAAACAAGGCAGCATAGAATGCTACAGCCAAAAGAATTACATGCTATTCAAAAAGGTAAAGAATTTTCAGTTGGGGAGGTGAAGGCACGTCTAAAATTCTATGATTCTAAGGCTCTCAGGGCAGTCGAGACTCAAGCCTGAGTATTTCTTCAGCGGTTAAGCAGATGTGTGCAGGTATATTTCCAACAGAAAAATGCCACACCAGCAAAGATAAGTAAAATTGTTATACCACATTGAAGTAGTGAATAAAGAACAGTTCCTGAAGGTTAGTGGAAGATAAGATGGGATTAAACAAGGACCAAAGTTTGAAAAGTCCTGAGAAGAAATTTGGTATTCATACTTGACCTAAGGGTAATACAATTCATGCTTGACATGAGAGTGATACAATTTTCAGAAAGATTAACCCAATGGGAGTAACATGTTAAACTTTAGAAATCAAGAGCCTTATTTCTTGAAGAAGCCTCCCCTAACTACTTAAACCCTCTAGGTTCCTTCTCCTTTTAAGCCTTATACCACTTGCCTGCAGTATACAATTTAACTCCTAATTACATCTTCTCACACAGTAAATTCTTAAATTTTCACTGGTGTTAATCTAGTCTCTTCAATCAAAGAATAAGGATCAAATCAAAGATCTCCATTTCTTCCTAAGAAATCAGCAAAGCATTAGGCCCTTAAAACTTTATTTTTGGAGGACTTTTTGCACTTATGTAAAACCTACTTACTAAAAAGACAACAATCTAAAAGCGACACACACACACACACACACACACACACACACACACACACACACACACACAATGATAGCTAAGCAATAAGCTACCACAAGAACAAGTCCTGTTTGGATGGCACTTCTTAAAGTTTCATTCGATAGATCCCATAACTAATAATGTCGTTATCTTACAGCATATGTTTTCAGTACTTCCTGTTTTATATAGGCATTTCATCACCACATTTACTTTTCTTTCTCAACTAAGCATTGCTCTCAGTGGTCAGCACATAATAGTCATTTCTCAATCTCATTATCTTTTTGGCACTGAAGCCTTTCCAATCTTTTTATCTATTAACTTCATTGATTGAGAACCACTGTTATGGCTTAATTAAATTCTAATAAATAGTGCTGCTATAACTTCTCTACATAATTCTTTTACACATTTTAAATGCTTCCTGTGGTTTAGCAATATTCAAGTAAAACTGATTCAAATAAAAACATATGTTACAGGAATAATTCAAATCCACCAAAGCATTCACAAAATGATGTTAGTATCCATGGATTACACTTAAATTCTAAAATTTTCCAAATTCTACAAAAATTTGGATTTTTTTTTTTAAATCTTTTTTTTCAACGTTTTTTATTTATTTTTGGGACACAGAGAGACAGAGCATGAACGGGGGAGGGGCAGAGAGAGAGGGAGACACAGAATCGGAAACAGGCTCCAGGCTCTGAGCCATCAGCCCAGAGCCCGACGCGGGGCTCGAACCCACGGACCGCGAGATCGTGACCTGGCTGAAGTCGGACGCTTAACCGACTGCGCAACCCAGGCGCCCCAAAAATTTGGATTTTTGAATGTTCAACCTTTTGACCCTTTACTTTCATA